TACACTCTGACCTCATCCTTGTTGCGCTTTGGAGCAGGCACCATTAGTGCACACCAGTCTGTTGGCTTGGTGACTTCCTCAATGATGCCAAGTTTGAGCATGCGCTTTATTTCCTTCTCCACCTTTGGGAGGAGCGGAAAAGGTACCCGGCGTGGGGTGGTTACGCTGTACGGCACTGCATCTTCGGCCAGCTCGATTTTTACCGGTTCACAGTTCAGCAGGCCCATTTCCCCAAACACATCCTCTGTTAAGTCACTACTAATTTTGTTAACTCTAGCAACTAGTCCCATGCGCTTCGCCACCGTCTTTCCCAGTAGGTTACTTGCGTATTGCCCTCTTATAACTGTAATCCAGTACTGGTACTTTTGGCCTTTGTACACTGTAGTAGCAAGGAATTTCCCCATGCACCTGACTTTTCCACCAGGGCTGTACACCGTTGGCTTACACTGGATAAGTTTGGGTCTCTGCTGGAGTTTATTAAAGGTCGTTTCTGCCATAACAGTGGTGTCTGCACCTGTATCAAGCTTGAAATCAACTGGATTGCCATTTACCAGTAGCTCAATGTCCCAGTCGGCATCTGAGGCTGACTTCTCAATGACTGTAGTTTTTTGCTCAGTCACTGCTCCCAGGAAAAGCTCCCCTATGAAGAATGAATTCTCATCTGCGTCCTCTACAGCCTCAGCCCTGACCTCTTGTAGCATTTTGGTTTTGCATACAACTTCAAAGTGTCCCAACTTATTGCACTTTCTGCATCTTTTATTGCGGGCTGGGCAATTTTCTGTTTTGTCATGCACCCTGTTGCATCTTTGGCACTTTGGTTTACTCTCACTATGTCGTTGCTCACGTACCTGACGAGGTTGGTAGTAACTCCTTCTCGTGCTGTTATGCCTCTGTTTCACCTCACTCACAGTGCTTTCCACATGCTCCGCACTTTGCTGTTTGACTTGTTCACTCTGGCGTGCCAGTTGAATGGCTCTATCCAGAGTTAAGTCTGCCTTGAGCTGCAGTTTTTGTGAAACATCTTTGGCAATTAATCCAATAACGATGCGGTCCCGGATCTGCTCGTCTTTACCGCCGCCAAACTCGCAGTGCTGCGCGAGTTCGTACAGGCTCCGCACGAAAGCCTCGACCGTCTCCCCGGCCCTCTGGCTCCGTTTTTGAAAACAGGCGCGGTCGTGGATAACGTTTCTCTTCGGGACGAAGTGCTCGTCAAACTTTTGTATGACCAGATCATACTCAAACTGCGGACTTGGCTTGGCCTCAGTAGCAGCAGGAAACACAAATGAGCCATATATTGGTTTGGCATCTCTCTCCATAGAGTAAAGAAGCGAGTTCACCTGCACTTCGGCGCTCTCCATCCCTAGCTTGGACGCCACTCGAAAACGGGAGAATCTCTGCCGCCATATCGGCCACTCTGCCGGCTGTGTAAAGTCGAACAGCTCCGGAGGTCCAAATTTGGCCATTTCTCCGTGTAACTCGGCGTGAAGTCCTCACTTCTGACACCATGTCATGATCAGAGGCAATAAGACGCAGTGTTCTCAAGCACAAAGTGCTTTTATTGTCTTGCAGCAACAGCAACGTGTCTACATCATTCTCCCGAAGGAAAAGACGAAGAAGAACATCCCTACACCCTTATTTTAGCGACCTCTAGTGGCTCCCCCTATGGTAGCCTTACTAGGACACATAAACTGGTTTCACAACACGGTGAAACTCTAGGATTAGAAAATCCTGACAGATCTACGTCACACTGTCACTAACATTCATGAACTCACCCATCTAGACCATCGACATATAAATATTGCACAATGGGTTTCCAAAGACTCCAATAAAACACATTTTTGAAGATAAATGGGAGGTGGCCACCACCGCCATTTTGACTGTGTCACAGGTTCCGTCAAGCCCAGACAATTCCATAAAAGGGAAGAGAGGTGGAGCTGAGGGTGGGACCGTAAGGCTGGGATCAACTGACGACACCCGGTCGAACTAGCTACAAGCTAACCTGAAGCTAACCTAAAGCTAACACGGAGGTGGGAACTAAGCTAACGGAGGTAGCAACCTAGCTACAACCGGAGTTTACTGTACACAGCACCAGAGCTTCTGAGTCAGAGATACACCGGGTTGACCGCTGGGTAAAACCGGGTGGAACACAGAGGTCTCAGAGAGCTTCACAAGCCGGCAGCCGTGCAGCAGACAAGCGCCGCTGCGATCTGAGATGCGCAGAGCTGCCGCTGGGGAGAACCAGGTGGAAAGGTTTCCATCCCAGAGCTCCACAAGCCAGCAGCCCGCGCAGCAGACAGAAGCCACGATCAGACAGAGATGCGCCGAGCTGTGGGGAGGGGAGAACCGGATGGAAAACATCGGTCTCCCGAGAGCTCCACAAGCTGATAGTGGGAACCCAGCTCCACCAACATGTTATATTTCAACCCATTTTCTAAAGTGCAGCATTATGTTAAATACACTGGGTTTTACCCTATTACATTTAAATTTTATGGTTAAACAGTACATGTTAAAATCTAAGCTCAGCTCGGCAGTGACCTAAAATACATAAATATAATTTTACTTACCGAAAAAAATGAAGTGGAGACTCCTTGGATGCTCTATTAGTGCAATTAATGCCACAGCAAGTCATTTTGTCCAACAATTGCACAAATAATATCCAAAAAAGAATACACAAACACAGAGAGACTCAAAATCCCGGAACAGTTTCCAAGCCAGACCGAGGCTCTACTGAGGCCTTTCCACGGAGCTAGCTCTGTGGTCACGTGGGTCTGATGCTCATTAATTATACAGAATTTTAGGCTTTTAATACACTTCAACAGAAGAGTCAGAAAAAATTCACCCCCCTCAGAGTTGTCATGAGTGTAAACTAGATCATTTAAACCAAGAACATGTTTTGGTACCAGGCTGTAAACATGTTCATTTCTGCTGTGAAATTGGTATTTTTAACATGGGAGTCAATGAGGATTTGCTCGCTTCTGACACCAGCCCCTAGTGGATGAGGGTGGAACTGCAATTTATTTCATTTCCGGGTTTGCTTCAATTTTTCACCCGCATTGTGGGGGCTTGATCTAGACTCACGACAGGGAAGGCTGTTGTTGGTTTAGCGTCCAGCAAACAGCAGAGAACGTCTCAGCTAGTAGAAGCTAACTGTTAGCATTAGCAACTCCACCACACAGCAGAACTCCTTCATTATTGTGTTATTTGTGGGGATAAAACTTCAATGCTGCAGAGCAAACAGAGTCAATAGAGTTAGCCAAAAAGAGGAGAGATGTCCGCATATCAGGAAATGAGACTCAAAGTCCTGTCGTCTGAAGCTAGTTACTCCTCCAGCACAATTCTCCTTCCTCAAACATGCGCATCGGAGCTTTTTCCTTCAGTACGACTCACAAGGCATTCATTCCTAGAGATTAAATATGTTACAGTGCTCTCTTTAGAATATTTTAAAAGCATTTCACTGTTTTTCTAATGGATGCACTTCTTGGTTCGGGGCTGTAAGCATAACGTTAGTGTATTTCTAAACTCGTTTCCATCTGTACCACCCAGATTATGAGAATTTGCTGAAGAATCGATGTTGCTTGTGCAACATGTGTTCAGCCGAAGCCCCGCGAGGCCTTTCTGGACTCACCAGACCTCCGATGCTGCAGCGTCTTGAGCTCGGCCCACGTACTTAACTTAATCTTTAAATAGCTCCTGTAGTCGTGGGAAAAATGAAGCTGGGCTTGACACTGTGACTTTTCTTAACATCCTCCAGGGTTTCTCTGCTCTCAGTGGCAGCCTCAGTCAGGACTTGATCACTGAGATTCTGCCCAGAAGAAGTTCCCTGAAGGTTTGTGAGAAGGGGACGGACAGCTGAACACATTGAAGGCATGTGAGGAATAAAGCTGGCTCCATACCCGTGAGCCCTTTCTCCACCTCCTCCTTCTCCAAGGCTGGCTTTCCAAGCAGTTTTACGTGTCGGGAAGCTGACCCTCGAACAGCCTCCAGCTCTGCAGCTCATGATGAATACAAATGTGTTGAGAACCAACTAAATAAATAAAAACACGCTTTTGGGAAGATTTCTGCAGACACTTTCAGACTTGTCCCAAACTCAATGCTGCACCTGAAATGGAGAGCGTACAGTCCCAAACTGGCACAGAGGTCACGTTACCATGGCAACCGCTGTGCCAGGGCAGGTTGATTGGGCCAAAGAGAGACCGGTCGACAGGCAGGAGGAAATAAAAGTGCCTGAGTAGCCGAGTATGAAGTGGAATGTGAAGGTATGCGGCTGCATTGTTCCACAGACATCTCAGGAACGCATACAGAACATTATTCATGCTCCCATGCCTGCACTTTGATTCCACTCGCTATGGAAACGGGCCTGGTGCTGCGTGTCGTTTCCTCGGTGTCGGCTTGCCGTACGGCCTCGGTGTCTGTGGACAGAGCCTCCTGCCGTGAGCACTCTGCACCGATAACTCATGAAGGAGGGACTCGGCTTCCTCGGACGCACTCGCTGGCATCTCGTTTCAGAGCCAGAGGTAAAAACGACAAGTCGGACTTGAAGTAATGTAGCGTTGCCTGGCAACAGCACAGAAAACCAGGCATCGTCTGGGGGTCTGAGGATCTTTTTTAACTTTGTGTTTGTCCTCATGCACACCCTGTAATTGCTTCCAGAGAGGGTTCTGCGTGGCGGAGATGCCGTAAATCACCCGACTCGCAGCTAACTGTCAGATATTTAACTGTGATTTCATGTTTGTCAGGATGGAAACGTTCAGTTTAGTGATGCTCAGCGTCTGGCCCAGATGTTGTTTGTTTTTCTCCGTAAATGGACAGGCATCGGGGGATTTGTGGGAAGGAAGGTTCCAGTACAAATGAATTGACCTTTGACCCTTTGTTCCAATAAATGGTAATTTCTGGGAAGGCTGGTTTGCTGCAAATGACTAAATCTGGCACTCTGACGCCATCTAGTGGTGTCCAGGTGACTTGAAAGGGAGAAGGCTGCAGCACCTGGAGTGGAACTGGGAAACGCAGACACAGAATGTTTTATTTCACAAACAAAGTGACGTGTGACAGAGTGAGGAGAGCACTTCACACTGCCGGGCTCAATTATCTAATACAGAATGATTTCCCAACAAGAAAAGCAGAGTAACAGGAGCCCAGGTTTCCTAATGAGACGTCCCACCAGCTTCAGCCGGGCTGCGGGGGAGTGACCAGCTGCCTGCCACCAGATCCTGAGCTGACCAGAAGGATAAAGATGAAATAATTGGGACATTCAAAGCCAGGCAACATTTTTCTTCAGGAAGTTGATGAGCCCGTTGGTGGACGAGTCGTGGGAGTGGACCTCTGCCACGTCCGTGAACTCCGGCTCGATCTTCTTTGCAAGCTGTTTACCCAGTTCCACCCTAATGATGGAGTCAGGGGATTAATCCTAGCAATGCATTCATTCTCCATCACTTATGTTAAATGAGTGACTCTCACCCCCACTGGTCGAAGCTGTTGATCTCCCACATCACGCCCTGGACAAAGATCTTCTGCTCGTACATGGCTGCAGAATGAGAATCATTAAAACGAGAGGACACACAGTTCTTTACAGTCCAATCGTAAAGATATGACATATAATAATAACAAGCTCGCTCAGCTTGGCAGCACAGGTTCAAACAGACTCTGTTACTATGCAACAGTCCTCACGGAGCCTCCTCTGGATGCTGGAGCAGTTTAACAGCTCATTGTTCCTCCACAGATTCAATATCGCTGATCAAAAACTCAAAGCTTTCTCCAAGAATAACTTTATATAAGAATAACTTCAAATTAGTGGATTTTGACTGTACTTCGTCTTTATAGAAACCGACTGAACCTCCTCCGCTTAGAAAAGGCCACATGGTAGCGTCAAAACTACGAGCTACAAAATCAGAACGATGAGTTTTTAAGTCAAAAATAGAAGCCTTAAAAAGTTAGAATTTCAAGGAACAGGTCAAAAATAGTCATAAATATTAGTTTGTAAATTGTTATCAGTTGTTACTTTAATCTCGTGACTTTACAATCTATAATAGTTAAAGTTATAAGTATTTTTCACAAAATCATGATTATCTAATTCTTATCGAATGATCTCATTATTATGTCAAAATCAATCTCACACTTGTGGTTTCCAGTTGAATAAACAGGAAATCCTAATTGTGACTCAAAGCCATTTTAGGCACAAGTTAACTCTAAATGATAAGATACGAGTAAAAACTGTAATTACAACGTCCCAACTTTGACTTTGAAACTCATCAGCTTGATTTGTTTCTGATTATTATTAAAAAATTCAATCTAAATGATGAGATTCAAAGCCATTTTGTATTTGGTAGTTTCAAGGGCAAAATTATAATTGAGACTTTAATTTCAACATCATGGATATGCAAAGTCGTAATTCTGTGATAACTAATAATAATTCCAAAATTGAGAGAAGCAAATGCATTATTTTGTTTTTATTATCATAATAATGAGTTTAATTTATTATGCCCTTTATATCAAGAAATCTCAAAGGGATCATTTCTAAAGGTTAAAAGGCTTTTTTAATGCTTTAATCTCATAATTATGAGTTATTTGTTTATTCATGTGTCATAAAATAAACTTTAATAGTATTTTAACAGATTTATGATACATTTTGAGACCATTTTTCTTATGAGTGGCAGAATCAATAATAATAATCTTGTCTAAACTCATGTTTCATCACTGAGTCTCACCTATGAGCGCTCCCAGAGTGAACGGTGTTAATTTCTTGAAGATGATGGAGTTGGTTGGTCGGTTTCCCTGGAACACCTGAGGTAGTCAGGAACAGGTGAGATAATGACTCCATGTGTTTTAATCTAGGGGTGTCCAATCCTAATTTTATTCAGCTGGTGAGCTTAATGAGCTGCTGAATAGGTGATCCAACCACTGAATCAGGTGTTTTGGAACAGAGAAACAACTAAAACATGCTGAATGGAGGCCTTGATGACCAGGGTTAGACATCATGATTCAAGGACACTAGGGGACACTGACTCCAGAGGTGGTTTGCACAAGCATCATGAGATCATCTGCTTGAATACTTTATCCAGCGGAAAGTAAATTATTTATGATAAGAGATCTATTTTCCACTTGACCTTGTGCGGTAAGAGTTTCTCCAGAGCCTCCCCGCTCAGACCACTGGCCTCCAGCTCCTTCCTGGCCTCCTCGGTGGTCTTACCCCTCATCAGTGCTTCTGTCTGAGCCAAAAAGTTGGCCAACAGGATCTGGAGCCAAATCAGAAACACACCCACTCAGTAACTTTAAAGAGCAAGTCACCCCCAAATCAACTTTTTTTTGCTGATAAACTATATAAATGTGTGTCTAATTGTGCTGTAGACATGTGTAGTCAATAGTTTGGTACTTCAGTGCATCTTAGTTAAAATTTTAATATTCTGCCTAACGGTCAGTGTTGTGCCGTTGTCAGGTAAAAACTCTGCACTGTTTTTGAATTTAAATCTGCCACCGCTATTGGCTAAGAGGTATGCTATGATGTAAACTGGTACATTATGATGTCACAATGCTGTTGTGAGCCTGTGTGTGTGTATTTGTTAGCGGCTCCGCCCTCTTGGTCTGCTAGGCAACGGCATTTGTTGCATTTTTCAAACATGAAGAGGGAGTGAAGTAAGTTTCTTTTAGGTGGTGACTTGCTCTTTAAAAGCTGTTCTAACATGGCAGAATGGGTCAGATGAGAACTATTTATAACTTTTACACAGAAACACTTGTTGCTATGACGACAGACACCTGTGCAGTTCCATTCGTACCTTGTGGTGCAGATTGTCCCTGATGGGGTGCTGGGTCTGAGCTGGTATCAGGAAGTCAGCTGGTACCATTCGTGTTCCTGCAATCAACAGGTCCAACTCAGTTATGGCACGACACCCCCCACCCCCTGCGTGTACCTTGGTGGATGAGCTGGTAGAAGGCGTGCTGTCCATTAGTCCCCGGTTCTCCCCACACAATCGGCCCAGTGTGGTAGTTTACTCGTGTTCCATGGTTGGTGATGTACTTTCCATTGGATTCCATGTCCCCCTGGTGCACAGACACTTGGTTATTTATTATCTGCACCAACACACACGCTCAGTCAGGAAGCTGTTTCTTTGACTTCAGCTTTGACCATCTCCTGGTTTTGGTTGGATTTTATATGTGACTTTTTGAAGTTATTTTCTTTGATCAATTGTAATAGCTGATACAGCTTTGTGAGCTCTGCTGAAACCCGAGGACGAACCTGTTGGAAGTAGGCAGTGAAGCGGTGCATGTACTGGTCGTAGGGCAGCATGGCGTGAGTCTCAGCATGGAAGAAGTCGATGTACCAGATGCCCAGCAGGGCCAGTAAAACAGGAGCGTTCTTATCCAAGGGAGCGGTTCTGAAGTGTTTGTCCTGCAGCACAAAGAGGCTGGTTTAACTTTATTCCTGGAGTGCTTTTCATCTACAGGGGTCTCTGTGACCACTGAGGCGAAGCTGAGAAGTTACCGTATCCTGCGCACATACCATCCAGTGAGCTCCAGAAAGAAGCTTCTCAAAGTTGTCGAAGCCTGTTGAGGAGATGGAACATGTCTGTAAGGATGAACTCAGACACATTTGCTGAAAGATTGTTCTTCTTAGCTCTGATAGCAGCTTCCATTACTGCAGTCCAACTGAATTATTGATGCAGGTATTGAACAGGTTTCTAAAAACTTCTGGGTAAAGAAGAGAGAATAAAACCTGGTGGATTTCTGTCTCAGTTGTGTTTCTGTGACAGCAAGGTTTATGAGTTTGTGAGCAAAATATCTCATAAAGCTCCAGAGAGATTATTTTGAGGCTCTCAGAAAGTCTAAATGGGACGTACAACCTCTTTAAACATCTGATTCCTGATGGCAGCAAATGCAAAATGGTGTTGAGGAGAATCTGGAATTGTCCTCTTCACAAGTTTCATAATTTACATCCTCACTGAAAAATGTTCACCTTGTTTATCCTTTCGATAGATGCATGGATGGATGGATGGATGGATGGATGGATGGATGGTTGGATGGTTGGATGGATGGATGGATGGATGGATGATGGATGGATGGATGGATGGATGGATGGATGGATGGATGGATGGATGGATGGAATCATGATGGATGGATGGATGGATGGATGGATGGATGGAATCATGATGGATGGATGGATGGATGGATGGATGGATGGATGGATGGATGGAATCATGATGGATGGATGGATGGATGGATGGATGGATGGATGGAATCATGATGGATGGATGGATGGATGGATGGATGGATGGATGGATGGATGGAATCATGATGGATGGATGGATGGATGGATGGATGGATGGACAGAATCATGATGGATGGATGAATGGAATCATGATGGATGGATGGATGGATGGAATCATGATGGATGGATGGATGGATGGATGGATGGATGGATGGATGGATGGATGGAATCATGATGGATGGATGGATGGATGGATGGAATCATGATGGATGGATGGATGGATGGATGGATGGATGGATGGATGGAATCATGATGGATGGATGGATGGATGGATGGATGGATGGATGGATGGAATCATGATGGATGGATGGATGGATGGATGGATGGATGGATGGAATCATGATGGATGGATGAATGGAATCATGATGGATGGATGGAATCATGATGGATGGATGAATGGAATCATGATGGATGGATGGATGGATGGATGGATGGATGGAATCATGATGGATGGATGGATGGATGGATGGATGGATGGATGGATGGATGGATGGATGGATGGAATCATGATGGATGGATGGATGGATGGATGGATGGATGGAATCATGATGGATGGATGGATGGATGGATGGATGGACAGAATCATGATGGATGGATGAATGGAATCATGATGGATGGATGGAATCATGATGGATGGATGAATGGAATCATGATGGATGGATGGATGGATGGATGGATGGATGGAATCATGATGGATGGATGGATGGATGGATGGATGGATGGATGGATGGATGGATGGATGGAATCATGATGGATGGATGGATGGATGGATGGATGGATGGAATCATGATGGATGGATGGATGGATGGATGGATGGATGGGATTAAAATGCACATCTAGAGCTGATTAAAGATGGCCGCCACAATAAGTGACTGCAGCAAACACAAATACATGGTTGTAACTAAATCAGTTTCACATATTTTAAACTAAAGTTGATTTCGGTGGAACTTAGTAATGACTTCAAATTCTTCCAGCTGAGCTTGTAAAATCACATTAATTCCAGATAACATTAGATTAGGTAAGAGACGAGAAACAAACGCATTCCTTCTGGTTTTTCATTGTCCTGTTGCATGTTTCTTCTAGAGAACTTACCGATGTGCAAGGCTATAGCCATTCCTATTGCAGACCATAAGGAGAAGCGACCACCCACCCACTGTTGGAGAAAAATGGCCAAAATCACAACACATTTCATGCAGAATTGCTTTCAAAAGGTTCCTTTTGTGACATTAAATTTTGAAATAAACTATTTATGGAAGCTGTGTCAGTCAAGTAGGGTCTTGTTTTATAATCACCCATCAGAAGTACTGTTTTCTCCGAGGTTTGAAGGCCATAATAAAGCTGCTACCTTTTAAATACCAACAATGTGACTAAAAGCAGCTCTCTGACCTTTGATGCAGCTCGGCCTTCACCGTAACCTCTGCAGCAGGAAAGGTCGCTACCAATAATAACTGAATCTGAAGAGAGGGGCTTCTGATTACCCAGCAGCTGCTCTGTAGCGTGTTTGTCCCACCTACTTCACAGGTCAAAAGTCTGGTTTATTTATAGCAGCTGCTCATATACCCCCCCATCACAGCGTTGGGATGAAAATGTGACCTGCAGCACACCAAGTCTTAAAGATCACTCACATCCCAAAACTCAAACATGTTCTCCGTATCGATGCCGAAGTCCTTGACTTTGGGCTGAGGACGCAGACACAGACGACAGGACAGATTAGAAGTTTCAATCCACACATCAGAATCCTTCAAACTGACTTTTAAACAGCGATGTGACTTACGGCGTTTGTGGACAGAGCAACAAAGTGCTTGGCGACAGCAGCTTTCTGTTGAATCAAGTCAATAATTAGGAAGGATGCTGGTCAAATACATTATTGTAACTGTAAACGCTCATTCATCCACTCACATCTTTGGCACGTTCAAGGAACCAGGCTTTGGCTGACTCGGCATTGGTGATGGTTTCTTGGGTGGTGAACGTCTGCAAATATAAGGGTATTAATGTTGAGCGATCCAACAACAATCACGTCTGCCTGAAGACAAGTTTTCATAACAAAATACATCTCGAGATGTTCAAACTCGGGGGGTCATTTATCTTGTCACTCCTCGTTAAAAGTCCAAATATGTACGAAACTCTGAGAAAGTCATCGTTGTCTTCAACTGATTCGTGTTTTAGGTCAGCCTGTTTCCAGGTGACTTTCGCTGTAATTTTACTTTAAAAAACAAATGAAATTTAGTGTTTTTTGTCATCGAAAGTTATACTCTGAGAGTTAACTGGTTGTACGGCATCTAAAAAAAAACTTGAAACCATCGTCACAAATTCTTTGTCAAGCCACTGCTGGCCTTAAAGCATCCAGATGGAGCATCAGGATTAGTACTAGGGATGTAAGAAAATATCAATATGGCAATATATCGTGATATTTTATCCTGTGATTTAATATTGATATTCAAAATCCATGTATCAAAATTTTGGAAGAATTTACATGCAAATATTTGTGTATTTTCTTGTCTTTTGGTGCAATTCAAACGCAGACCGCTAGATGGCAGCAGTGTGCAATGTGTTTTGTTTCCACCATTGAAATATAAATCCCTCAGTTATGGTTCAGGTACCTCGCGTTAAAAATGTTAAGTATCACTTTGGACTAGGGCTGGGCAATAAATCGGAAATTTATCGTTATTGAAATTTCTGACTCTTATCGTGATCATTTTTCCCATGTCAATAAATTTGATAATAAAGAAATGAAAAGATGTGTAGGTTGGTAAAGTTCACATCCCTTTAAGAAGCTGTACCACCTTGAGTCATGTAAAAATGTGACTCAAGTAATACATGTGACAGCCCCATCTAGTGGACAGCTTTTGTTTCTGCGCATACCTGCAGTTATCACCCATTTATCGTTATCGAGGTGAAATTCTCAATATATCGTGATACTGATTTTAGGTTACATCGCCCAGCCCTAGTTTGGACTGTTTATTGAATATTCCTACAAAAAAATTCAGTCTAAAAAAATTGCTAATATCATCTGACTGAATGTATCGCAATATATCGTGATATGTTGTATCGTCTCCCCTGTATCGTGATACTTATCGTATCGCCAAAATTTCACCAATACACATCCCTAATTGGCACCTTCATCAGAAACCTGCCATCTCCAGTCCTATTCGTGTCTACTGCCCCCTGGTGGGGGACGTACAGGTGGTGAGGGCAAATTTCGACTCTTTATTACTGTTATGCTGTGTTAGAATCACAAAGCAGAATAAAACTGATTGGATTGTGTTTTAAAATTAGGTTTCATACTTCAGAGGGACAACTCCTGCAGGAATAGTTGGCCATTTGCATTTCTTCAAGGATTGCTAGGCCTTTCATTTTTATGTGATTTATAAAGAAAGCAGAAAGCTTTTTATTCCACATGCAAAGTTTCTCTGGTTTGCTGAATCCGTTGGGCTTATACCTTGGACGCAACAATGAAGAGTGTCGTCTCAGCATCGAGTTGAGCCAGCGTTTTGGCGATATGGGTCCCATCGATGTTGGACACAAACCAGACACGAGGTCCATCCTTCGAGTACGGCTTCAGGGCTTCTGTCACCATCAGAGGACCCTGAGGTTCAAACCAAACTGGATGAAACAAATTCAAACAAGAATCCTCGAATATGCAGCGGTACTCACGAGGTCCGATCCTCCAATCCCAACATTGACGACATCTGTGATGGCCTTCCCTGTGTAGCCCTTCCACTCGCCACTGCGAACCCGCTTCAACAGATGTGCACGGCCGTCACAAACATCACCACAAAACATCATTAGCTCCAATCCATGAAAATGTGGAAACTTTCCGGCCTTCTCACAGACTCACGTGACAGAAGCCCTTCATCTTCTCCAGAACATTGTTCACATCTGGCATGACATCTTTGCCATCGACCATGATGGGAGTGTTGGAACGGTTCCTCAGAGCAACATGGAGCACAGCGCGCCCCTTCAAACACACACAACAGCACACGGAGGTTTATCCAACAGTCACCGGCTGCTGTGGACGTTTAGTCAGCAGTGAGCACCTCTGTGAAGTTGATCTTCTCTCCAGTGAACATCCTTTCTCTAGCAGCTTCAATCCCTCTTGATTTGGCCTGAAGGCAAACGTTTCAAAGAATAAAGTCTCATAGCCAATCATGATGAAGAAAGAGCTATGGAGGTTAAATTACCAGGTCAACCAACATCTTCATGACCTCATCCGTGATGAGATTCTTGGAGAAATCCAGGAGAATGTCTCCATCCTCGGTGTTGAGTGTGAGGCTGTCCAAACACAAAGACATGTGAAGGTTGTCCCTGGAGGACCTCAAAAAACAACTCTGCTCATTCGCATGCAACACCTGTAGCTCTCCCATACCTGAACTTGTTGAATCTGTCTTTGTCGGCCTCAAACATGTGCCTCATGTTGAGGCTCAGAGCGTGGGCTGTGTACCAGTCCTGCAGCTTCTGAAAGTTGGGGTCCTGAGTGAGTCCCATGTCTGTTTCAGAGTGGGGCTTGCTGTGCTCTGCTGTGCAGGGCTGTCTGGTCTGAGTGGAGCCCAGCTGGTCAGAGGGAAAGCTTTTTGACGAGTCCAGATCCACGCTCGCCCCTCCTACATGTCACACCACACCAACACAGCTCATGCTCTACAGAGCAGCAGGGGTCCAGCAACACGTTACAGCTGGGTTTTAATACACATGGCTACTGTAAATTTCACGTGTGATACTGAAACTGCTGAAAAATGTCGTATATTTGTAACCTCTCATGTTAACCCGACCTGAAAAATAAAAACCCTTTTTTTTAGATTATTTTAGATTATCCTAAAATTCTGTTTGATTGTAAATCACTGGCCTGTTTTGATTTATTATGACGTTTTATGCCCTTCAACCCAATTCATTATGTTAAAATTGGTTTGTTTGTCTATAAAAATGAATGTAACAAGGAAAAAGAGCATTGCATATGTAATAAATAAAGGTTATCTTATGGTTGTTAGGTGAATTTGACTCTATGTAGATTAGAAATGACTCCTACATCATGGGAAAACACTTTGGGTACAGCTCATTTTGTAAACTGATATGGAAATATTAACCAAGTGACGGATGTGAACTACAGGATGCAATATCATTTCTTTAACAGTAGAGGGCGAGAACACACCAGCCTGTGGAATGAGATTTGTTTTTCTGTAGAAAAAATGATACAGCAGGAACGAAGCGTCATTGGAAACGATTTGTTTATCACAGCAGTGTTTAATAATAATAATAATACATTTTATTTAAAAGCGCCTTTCAGGACACCCAAGGTCACTTTACACAAAACACGTAATAAAATACAATAAAACAATAATAAAACCCAAAGAAGAAAAACAAAGAGAGAAACAGTTCAATAAAATCAGAGGCAGATTTAAACATGTGTGTTTTGAGTTTTGTTTTGAAAAGGGTAAAACTGTCGATGTTCCTGATGTCGGTGGGAAGTGAGTTCCAGAGTCGAGGAGCAGAGCGGCTGAAAGCTCTGCTCCCCATGGTAGCGAGACGGGCAGAAGGAACCGCAAGATGGATGGAAGAAGAAGATCTGAGTGAACGGGACGGGGTGTGAATACTTATAAGGTCTGAGATATATGGAGGAGAGAGGTTGTGGATTGCTTTGAAGGTATGAAGGAGAATTTTGAAGATGGACCTGAATTTAACTGGGAGCCAGTGAAGCTGCTGGAGAACCGGGGTGATGTGGTGAAAGGAAGGGGTTCTGGTGATAATACGGGCTGCTGAATTCTGGACCAGTTGCAGTTTATGAAGGAGTTTGTTGGGGAGACCATAAAGAAGTGAATTGCAATAGTCGATACGGGAGGTGACGAGGCTGTGGACGAGAATGGCAGCAGTGTGAGGAGTCAGTGAGGGACCCCTCACTGACCCCTTTAAAACGTTTTTTATTTTAAAACGTTTAAAACATGTTTTATTGAAGTGAACCTGAAATTGTATTTGAAAAAGGTTTTAAAGCTCCCATGAAGTCAAACGTGAACTTTAAATGGTGAAATTCAGTTATCTTTTGTGATAGCTTTATATGTTTGTATCTAGATTCTAAACATAAACCAAAACAAATGAATGCGATTGAATTCATTTTCAACATAACTTCACAAAAATTAAAATGACAATTTACACTACATAAAGTTTCATATTAGAAAATATTACAAAATGGAAATGGTTACTCGACTCTCGATTTTATTTAGAAAGTTCAACGGAAATAGTTGCATCAATGCTGACTTGACAAGTGGCAAGCTTGGCTTTATTTTGGAAAATCCTACCGGAAGTGTTGGTTTCCTACTGGACTTGACTGCGGTCGCACACAGACAGGGAATTCGCTGTCAAGAGGGTGGATGCCTAAAGCTGGTGAGCTATATGCCTTGATGAACTTTACGTTTTACCTCTAATCGTATCGTGTTTATTAAAGTTGTTGAAGCCTTTTGACAAAAGTGGTCCCAGCTGAACTAGTACCACCGGGCTGCTTTATCAGCTCGTGCTTCTCACCGTTTTTTACAATCATGTCGCAGAGGGCTAGCTGAGTAGCTAACCGTTGCTCGCTTAGCTTTGCAGCTAACCTGCTTAGAATCATCAGTGTGGTGTCCATTATCGGACGCTCCGTACTCTTGACACGAATATTTCATTGTTACCCTTAATATGTCAATATTAAATTTCCTCAAACGCGCTTACAAGCAGTTTGAAAGAGCTGCTGACGCGTTTAGTACTATTGTAAGAATTAATACCCGAATAGCGGTGCACTAATCCAGCTTGTTGTCTGCTGATAGAGAGTCTCTGCCTAAGCTATCGGAGGAGCAGCGGTTGGCGCTCTTGCTTATTCCTGTTGTCACTGACACTGGTTTATGTTGTGAACATGGCTTCTAGTTTTGATCCACGTCTTGACAACGTTTAGCTGCGGTAGTTTATGCTAAGACGGGGGTGTGTTGGCGTGTGAGTGTGTGTGCGAAACCACAGCAGCGAGCTATTTGGGCTTTATGTCCGATAACAGACCTGGTCTCGAGTTGAAGTTATGCGCTGCAGTCGGTTCTGACCAATCGACGAAAATCCATTTTAGGTAGACAATTAAAAAACGTAATGTACCTGTCGTTGTGTCGACAAGGTGGGTAGAAGTGCACTAGCTTGCTAAGTAACGAGCGGGTGTTTGTGGTTCTGTGCGTAACGGCGGGGCGAGTGTCAAGGCTGGAATGCGGCGGACCCAGTTGTGTACCCGGGAATGACGGTCTGAGCAGGCCGTGGCGTTTTCCTGTCACTCGCTGCTCGGACTCACCGAGCTGATGCACCGACAGCGCAGAAGCCTTCCTGGCGACGCTGCATGTAGGGCGTCAAAAGACTATTAATAGCTGCGACATAGCGTTCCCATGACCGGAGCCATCGTGTCATCCCAGCGAGTTTCGATGAAACCGACCGAGAGCGCTCCGGGGGGTTTGTGATCCTGCACCGTCTCAAAGTATGGACTTTGTTTTTAATAATTCCCTGGCCCGGATACGCGTGAGGGAGGGAATAAAAGGAGATCGATCGTGTCAAACAAACAAACAAAACAAAAAAACATTGTCTTGTGAATGTCTATAAATAGACTAGTCAGGCGTGCAGAATGCTTTTCAGATTCTTTAGATTTTAAAGATGGAAACCAAGTTACTCCCATTGGCACCATGACAGCTGTGTGTGTGTGTGCGTGTGTGTGTGTGTGTGTGTGTGTGTGTGTGTGTGTGTGTGTGTGTGTGTGTGTGCACTTGACTTTTATATGTTTAAGTGGACAATTTTTGACTTAAACCTGTAACATGTGGACATTTCCACATTGTGGGGACATTTTGCTGATCCACGCAAAGCTTAAAGAGCAAGTCACCCCCAAATCAGCTTTTTTTCCCTGATAAACTATATACATGCCGCTGTCTAATCGTGCAGCAGACACATGTAGTCAATAGTTTTGCACTTTAGTGCATTTTAGTTAAAATTTAAATATCCTGCCTAAAACTGTCAGTGTTGTGCCGTCAGGTAAAAACTCTGCACTGTAGTTGAATTTAAATCTGCCACCGCTATTGGCTAAGAGGTATGCTATGATGTAAACTGGTATATTATGATGTCACAATGCCATTGTGAGCCTGTGTGTGTGTATTTGTTAGTTGCTCCGCCCTCTCGGACAACATCATTTGTTACATTTTTTAAACATGAAGAGGGAGTGAAGTAAGTTTCTTGTAGGGGGTGACCCGCACTTGTATAGCGCCTCTCAGAGTAAGGACTCCAAAGTGCTTTACACTACAGTGTATCATTCATCCATTCACACACACATTCACACACTGATGGTGATGAGCTACAATGTAGCCACAGCTGCCCTGGGGCGCACTGACAGAGGCGAGGCTGCCGAGCACAGGTGCCACCGGTCCCTCCGACCACCACCAGCAGGCAAGGTGGGTTAAGTGTCTTGCCCAAGGACACAACAGCAGAATTCTCTGTCCGGAGCCGGGATCGAACCAGCAACCTGGACAACCTGCTCAACCTGTTGAGCTACTGCTGCCCCGACACCCCAACACTTGGTCTTAGTGGTATGGTGTGAACGAGCTTTTAGATTAGGTGAGTTTGGGTTAAGGAACACATGCATACTAATGTACATCTGGAATTGCACAAATATTGAACACATACTGAATATTTCATAGAATATTTAGAGAACACTTTTAAAATATTGGGGTTTTCCCTTCATCTTTTTTTCATGTAATTAGATAAAAGTTAACTATCAACTTTTTATTTAAATACAATTTTGTGTTAAATAGAGATGCTGCACAGGGTTTTCTCTGGCTGGTCTTTTTAAAACATGCCACCCCATTTCTGGCATGCAGTGGCAGTATTTGTTTTCATCTAATTGTTTAAAAATCAGAGGTTTGTTTACTTATTCCTCAAAGGAGGAAAATGGCAATTTTCCCCAGCTTTTAGATCATTTGGACCATTTATGGGCATACGATATTTTCTATAATAATATAAAACAATATTATATTTATGAAAAAGATAATGTCATGTAATTTTCTTGAGGTGTTTTTTCAAAGTTCTCCATATTTTTAGAACTTTTTAGTTGAGTAGTTTTTTTCTACTATGCAAATTTAAGATGTAGAGATGAAAATATTCTCTACCAAATGGTTGACCTGGTATTTTAAGGGTATAACCATTAAAAAAAATCCAAATATAAACCGATTTATCAGTTAGACAGATGAATCGTTAAACATCTAGTTAAAACTACTTAAACTCGATTGATGCACTGATCAGTTGTGTGGGTGCTTTGTTACATTCTCCTAGGTTTCACATAACTTCTTTCAGATTGCAGAATCCACCACATGGCTTGCTTTTGACCTCACCATGAAATAATAAACTGTTTCACTGTTTAGTCAGGTGCTGTTTTCTTCCTGAGAATTGCTTCATGAGTTAAATCATGTGTAGAAACATGCAAATGTTTGCTGATCTGCTTTGTTATTAGGAATGTGCTTCAGAGTAGAGGCTAGGGATGCACCGATCAGGTTTTTTGCTGCCGATCACGATACTGATATCAAAGAATGCTGATCACCGATACCGATCACGTGGATTGGCCAGAAATTTTCTACAACATTATAATAAGTGCTACAAACAACATAATCTGGGAATAAAGGAAATGTAACCTAATCTAAAATGGTGTGTATTAAGGTTGTCACGGTGTTAAAATGTAACCTCACGGTTATTGTGACCAAAATTACCACGGTTTTCAGTATTTTTTTTAAACGTGCTACATTTTCACACAATTAAATAAACCCTGTATGTCAGGAAATATTGTCCTCAGTTTGTGTCTAAATTTTGCCTAAAATGTGTTATTTTGTAATTATGTTGTTTATTTGTTTACATTTTTCCCCTTTAGTCTTTAAAATACCAATATTTGCCCATAACTTCTTATTTTTTGTCTGTTTGATGTCATCATTTTAAAAATATTAGATCAGATGATACTCAGTACTCAAGTAGCCTTCTAATCAGATACTTTTTTACCCTTACTTGAGTAATAAACCCTATATCAGGAAAATATTGTCCTCAACTTGTGTCCCTCCAGTGAGCTTTGCAGATGTGGGAAAATGTCATCAGGCAGTAATCGTTGTTAAATTCATAATTATTCTCGGAGAGAGACCAACTCTTATCTGCCCCTGGGAGCCCCGTAATGCATAGCGTCATTTAAACATGGCGGTGTCCGCGACACGGTTTATATGCAGGTAGCGGCGCTGCGGCTGCTTTATATAGCGACTCGTTGCATTCTCCCTCAACCCAAATCCTCGGATCACGCATTTTAGCTAAAACGCTAACGTTAGCTTGCCTTGCATTGACTGTAGAGTTGTGGGTGATGGTCACGCAGATGTGTCATGAGATTTGAAGCGTTGCTGCCTTTCACAGACACTTTTTCTGCACGTGCTGCACACAGGATAGCCGTCTTCTATCAGCTGTCCCTCGGCATTCTTCAAATATCCAAAAGATGCTGTACTTCCCACTTTGTCTTCTTTGAGGGATAATAAATGTCCTCCTGAGCGCTGCCGTCTCCTCCTTTGGCCATTATTTCAGCTTTAGCTTCAAGAAAGTTTTGGTTGTAAACAACAAAGTGCGCATGTGCCGCCGGCAACTTCAGCAGATGATACGGTGGCTGGTAAGGGTCACCGCGCCTACACCGCAGCCACGGTAATCCCACCGAGATAATATAGTTTTTTTAAAAACAAGACGGTTATTATTATTTTCAACTTTTTTTTACCGGGGTTTACCGCTACACTGGTTACCGTGACAACCCTACCTGATCGGTCTGCTTTGATCTATTTTGAAAACTCTGATAAAAACCGATAGGGGCGCTATCGGCCGATTGGGATCAAATGCCGATCCATCGGTGCATCCCTAGTAGAGGCCACAGATATATTGGGCCAATATCCTCAATTTTTTCTATATCAGCCAAAATTATTTTTAGAAGCCGATATAGAAGAAGACAAAATCGGGCACCTGTGTGGCCAACTGCCGCCACTACTAGACTGAGGAAAGGACCCCAACACACTGTTCTTTTTATTGTTTTGAGTTTATTTTATATTTGAAGTTCAATAAATATTAAAAGATTTTTTTACTTATTTAATTTATATTGCACATAGTGCATGTTCAGTTGTCTTTCACAATCAATGTGCTGCTAAAACTTATATATATCAGCCTTAATAATCAGCTTTAGATATCAGCAACACAATTCTTTAAAAATTGGTATCGGCATCAGCCTTAATAAAACCCATATCAGTCTGCCTCTGCTCCAGAATATTGAGTCACATCTTTAATTCATCATCTAGTGATTGTAAATAATAGCATAAGAGCAGCTCACTAGTATTATG